TTTCGATATGGAGACTATGCTCCAATGTTGTAGTTGTAATTTTTAGAGCTTCACGAAAACGCTTATTGCACGAGAACTAGTGAAGCGATTTCAAAGAAAAGTGTGCCGTTTCAAAGAAAAAAGTTCCAAACCTATCGGCAGATATGTTTCTGCAAGTAACCAATTCGGTTTCTGTCGTAGAAACAACTGTAAATATTGGCTTATTTTTCAAATTTGAGCCTTTAAAGTCCTCTAGCAACTTATGATTTGTAGATATAACTTTCATTTTTGGAATATAGGTTCTTTGGTGCAATAGAAATATTATCGTGTACAAATTTAATATAAATTCAACAAATACCTACCATTTTAAGGCAAAAAATTTTTGAAAAAATTTAAAATTTTTTTTATTACCAAAATTCTCGAAAACCGCTCGAATGATTTTGTTTTTGTTTCCTTAATCAAAATTTCAAGTTTTTTCCTTTCGTATAGTAGTTATATGGCATGTATTGGTTAATATCATCTAAGCATGTTTATTTTATTCCAATATATGGGCATAAATGATTTTCCATACAAAAGCACTTCGTCATTTTTATAAAAAAGAGTTGCCACCTGATAAAAAATGAAATTCAAATTATTTTTAAGTTAAATCTATTATTTCACTATGAGTATCAATAAAAATGGCTTTGAAAAGGCTTTATTTCTTAATTGTATGTAGGAGGGTTACCACCTGTTTCAAAAAGCAAGTTCGACTTAAATGAAGGCAGAAAAATTTAAATGTATATCCTGATATAGATGTCCAAAGAAAGAGGTTGTGGTTTGAACATATTTTGCAGAGGGTTGCCACCTTGTTACAAAATTAGATTCAATATAAGCAATAGGTTAAATAAATTACTTCAATATGAATATATGTAAATCAAAATGGCTTTGAAGAAATTTTATTTCCAAACTGCACGTAAGACGGTTGCCACCTGACTTTATAATTAAATTAAAATTGAACTAAGAGGATTAGATAATTTAAATATGTATCACAATACAAGTGTCATACGAAAAAGGTTTAACGAGGTTTTGGTATAAAAATAATTTGAACAGGACTGTCATCTGTTTGAGAAGTCGAGTTAAATTAAATTATATGAAATATTGAAATATTCGCGCCAAACAAAGGAGTATTAAGAAAAGTTTAGTTTCGGCATTTATAACTATAAGTGGGGTTTCCACCTGTGTAAAAAGTTAAACTCAAATTATTTAATAAGTCAAATGAATTATTAAAGTATGGGTATAAATTCACATTCGTTAAAAATGTTTTTTTCTTAATTTTATTTAAGAGGGTTGCCATATGTTTTAGAAATTAAATTCACTTGAATTAAGGGAATTAGATATACAATTTAAATATGTATCGTAATATGTGTGTCAGTCGAAAAAGGTTTAACAAGTATAGTATCTCAAACATATTCACTAATGAATCGATGCTGGATGAGAAGATGTATAGATGGGTTGTCTTTTGCGAAGAACTCTCCATCAACTTGTAATTTAGACCGCCGAACCACTGCAATGGTTTTAAAGCATCGGTACCCACAATCAAGAAAACAGCGAACTGGATGCTTACAAATATAACACCTTTAAAAGAGGTAAACGTATATTTCGATAGTCAGTTGGCAATCATAGCCAAAACTCATCGATGATACGTTCAAAAACGCGAATTGGAAATGCCAAGTGAAGCCAAGTCCTTCTCTGCTTGATCTTTCCATCTCAGTGGGGGCCTCCCTCTTCCTTTACTGCCACAAACGGGTTCCAGATTGAATAATTTCAGAGCTGAAGCTCAATCGATAGCAAGACAGGATGCTACTTACTAACTGTTACCAAATAAGGAAATAATGGCGGCTATGCTGGCCTGCTTCTGAACAGATGGATTTTATTCAGCCCAGTTATAGGTCTTCCTTCTCCTTAAATTTAGACGTACTTGTTATAACCCCCACCTCTCCATGCAAACTAGCTTTCTGTGTTGTCGGTCAATCATTAACTGCCTGCTCTGGTGACAAGATTAGCTCCTTCAATAAAATTTCTACGAGGCAGAGTGTTGAATATGCTACTTACGATCTTGTATCTCTATTTCTCGTACTCGTATCACCATGAAGTGTCTCTTTTCCATTTCGAATTCAAAAGCACACTTGCACAGATTTCTGAACATCAGCCGATAGGTCTATGGAAAGTTTTTTACTCCTGATGGGGCGGCTTCCATCTAAAGACGGTGTTGAAATTTCCGGTTGAAGTGGACGGACTATGCAAGTAGATGCACTACTGTCCCTGGCTAGAGGTCTGTCTGATGGTAATCGGACGAAAAAAGCAACCTCTTTGAAATGGAGTATGTACAAATGGTATGGCTTTGCCTCTGGTCTCTACCTGTTTCGCGGACTCTGCATACCAGTAAGCCCAAATTTTCCTGATTTGGCTAAATATGTTCTGTTATCAGTGTACGTAGCTCTAACTACCATCTCCATGGATCAAAAGCAGACTAAATTTGGCGTCAAATCTTCGCTATTTGTTTCTGATGGTTCTTGAGAGCATCAGTGTTTCTTTTGAGCATTGTTGATTCAAATACCTCAGAGTTACTTCCAAAGATAGCACTGAAAAGCAGCGCGAATGCTTTCAGTTTGTATGCGAGTATGTAAGATCTATAGAAAGCTTTGAAAAGCTTTTCTTGTGGAGCTTTTTTGAAAGCTTGAAATAGATTTTTTTATAATTTTCGGCCAAAAATTTTCGTGCAGTTCGAATGATGTCCAAATCGATCAGTTATACGCTAAGTGCATGCCTCGGTAAGCAGACTCGTAAATGCTTATATTTCGTGTGCATGAAAATATAGCAAATTATTTTTTCTACGCATCTTTTCAGTGCCTATGTGTGGGGGCCAGAAAAACTCAACTTTTTTCGCAAAGCTTGTAAAATGTCTGCAATCCAGCTTTTAGCGTGACAACGACAGCTACAACGCTGCCCATATATACATATACATGTATGTGTACATACAAATCTGTAGAATCATATGAAAGTACAACTGCTCTAACAAAAAAAAAAAAGACTAGGAGCACACCACAGTCAGCGAGACAATTGAATAAAGTCCCCCAGCACTTGAACACTTACACAAAATTTTTTCTTACCGACGAGCCCCAGTGGCTCAGTGTGCGCCACTGCCATTTATTTGCTGTTTTATATACCCGAACATATGTATGTATACCTTTATTAAGACCTAAATACATACATACATATGTGGACATGTGTTTTGTATATAACACTTATATGTGCAATGTACATAATACATGGTATGTATGTATATAACATCCTATGCTGGCTGTTTAACTGTGCTGGAGCGCGCACTTATGCCATCGCAGACGAATGGACGTGGAGGACGTGGAGCTACGCGGCTAATAAAGTCTCAACGCGTCATTTTTCGGTCTGGTTATATTTGTTTTTTTTTGTTGTTTTCATTTTTTTCTGCCATCCCCAATACAGGCGCTTCAACTGCATATGCCCTCCAAACAGCGCCACAATTCGTACTCACATACATTAGGGCGGGTCAATTTGTATAGAAAATTTTTCCGACTATGCGTGTATAGCACAGAAGGATTCTACGTGTAATTCTAAGCAAATTTTTCGAAGAAACCGTAGGTCTAAAAATAATTTGGAGTTTGCCAAATTGCGAAAATTGATTTTTTAGCAGTTTGCTGTAGTGTCGTAAACAAGTGCTTAAATTTTATATAAAAACATCCTGTAAGGGTTTTTTTGGTATGAGGAATACAATTTTGCACTTATATTTTTCTTGGAACTTCCACCAGAGGGCACAACAGTGAAAACTTTCACAATTTCTTCGAAACCAATTTTTGTAATTCGGCAAACTCCACATTGATTTTAGACCCATGATTTCTTCGGCAAATTTGCCTGGATTTACACTTAGAATCCTTCTGTGCTACACGCTCATAGTCAAAAAAAATTTACCCACCCTAATATACATAAATATATGTATGTATGTATATAGCAAAAACGTTGTTGTTTTGTATTACTTGTTTTAGTTTTTGTGCTGTTCGCTTGCGTATTTCAGCTTTTGGCCCTCACTTGTTCGGCAATATCTCTATTTACACTTTTGCTTAAATTCTTGTTTGCTTCAGTCTAACTCTGTCACCTTCTCTACTGTGCATCGTTCAGCAGTTTTTTTATTTGTATTTCTTTTTTCCGTCATTTACCTATTCGGAAATTTCGTTGTATCTACTCCCCACTCGGTGGCCGACCATACCAGTATGAAACCCCTGTAGTAAACCCGTACTAGAACAGAAGTACTGAGGGAAATTCGTTTAGTTGCAGCTGAAAAACTTTTCAGTCTTACCTCTATGTGACCGATGGCTATTTCATGTACCTTTATTTTATTTTATTTTATTTTATTTTATTTTATTTTATTTTACTTTATTTTATTTTATTTTATTTTATTTTATTTTATTTTATTTTATTTTATTTTATTTTATTTTATTTTATTTTTATTTTTATTTTTTTATTTTTTTATTTTCTATTCAATTTATTTTAATTATGTATATTCTTTTTGCTTTATTTCGCTTTTTGATTTTATTTTAAATTAAAATACAGCGGCTACCTTGACTTGCTCATATCGTACGAATGGACAATAACGCTCCAGCCCTGAAAGTTATCAACGAGTGTTCCTCTGCGATGGAAAGGCCAGGTGGAGGAGGTCTGGGCTTTACTTGGCATTTCCAATTGACGACTTGCGTGCTTTGTTGGGTACGGCCAAAATCGCTAAGGTGGTTACTGCGCCAATCAAGAAGAAGAATTTTATTTTTTTGGTTTTATTTTTTTATCTTATTTAATTTTTTAACTTTATTATATTTGTTGTTATTTGATTTTGGTTTTATTTGTTTATGGCATGTATTTGTATTTTATTTATTTTTTTTTTATTATATTCCTTTATTTTTTATTTTTTTTTTTAATTTTATTTGTTTCGAACAAGGAAAAAAGGTCATTTTCGCTTTGGTTTTACTTTATTAATGGCACATGTTAAGAATCCTTTTTTTTCAGAAAATAATTTTTAATATAACTTTTCCACAAATTTTGTCGGCACCGCATGGCAACTGAACTTCCCGGTTACCGGAAGATTTTTCTTTATCAACCATTTATCGGCTGCCGCATCGTAAAGTTCAACGTCATCAGTCCACTTGGCAGGATCGATGACACCACCGAACGCCCACAGTTGACCACCTATGGATGCGGCACAAATATAACGACGTGAAACATTTAGGGAGGCAATCTATGAGGAAGAGTAAGAAAGTAAAATTTGTGTATAGTTGCCATCCGGTTGCATGTGAACTTATACCAACCCTGGTCCACTCGTTTCGCTGTGGATTGTAGCGTTCAGCGGTTCTATGATCACTATGTCTGCCACCAATTACGTATATAAATCCCTCATGAGCAGTCACCTGCAAAAAGTTTACATAAATATTTTAAAAAGGCATTATAGATAGATAGAAATCAGACGTAAACTCGCAATCCAACTTATAATGCCAATTATCTGTTATTCTGAGGTAGTCTACAGCAGGTTAGATTCCCAATCAGCTCACAAAATAGATGTAGTATTTAACCAGATCACGCGCTATGTGTTTGGGCTAGCAAGATATGAACATATTTCCGCTTGGAGAACGCGTCTACTTGGCTGCGAAATTTCTGAATATCTTAAAGCTAGAAATTGTGT